CTTCTTCATAAAGTCTAGCCTCTCAAATGATCTGTTCCGGATTCGGATTGTAAAGGTTTGGAGAAAAGACCAGTCTTCATTTAATTGCCTTTATACTTTTGCCTAAAACCAATTGGTCGTATTTATATGGTCTATTTATAGACTGTTCTGTGTCTTATCCTTTCACCAATATCACACTGTCTTAATTATTGCTTTTAGTATAAGTTTTTAAATTGGGTAATAGAAATTTTCCAATTTATTAATATTTTTTGTGGTGTGGATTTTTTTTTTTTAAACACGTCTCCAGTAGCCTGGATATTGGATTACCTTTTGCATAATAAGGTTTTGATTTTGAAAAAAATATTTAGTCATTGAACACGGTGGTATGGTAAAAACTATGAGAGCAAGAAGTTGACGAGACTGTCTTGTTTTTCTGGGTCTCACACATTTCCTGCCTTTGACAGGATGCAGCCTTTACCACTTTTCTATTGCTATTAGTGGGAATATTTGAGGTTTTTCTTTGGACAGATTTTTCTTACATGAGTTCTGGCTCTCTCAGGTTTTACTGTATAAAAGTACTTACTACTAGCAATGGCTTTTGTGCTTAGGCTGATTTCTGTCCTTGGAATGAATTAAGAAAATGTTTTCTGGACAAATCAAGTGAAAAAAATCTGCTATTTTCTCTCAGATGGTGAAATTTGGTTGGGCGACTAGTCATTGGAGTCAGACATGGCAGAATTTGAGTCCTAGCTTGCTGACCAGTAGTGACCTGTGTCTAAGTGTGCAGTATGGCTAATTGTTTTTGTAGCATTCATTGTTTTAAGGATTGTGATGTTGTATATAAAATATCTAGCTCAGTGACTGTTCCATAGTTGTTGTTAGGTGCCATTGAGTATGACTCTTAGTGACCCTAAGAAAAGCCAGTCTGAACCCTGCCCTGGCCTGTGCCATCCTCACACTTAATGCTGTCACTCTGTCAAGCCATCTCATTGGTTCTCTCCCTTTCCTTCACGGACTCTCCATCTTTCCAAGCCTGATGTACCTTTCCGAGGAATAGCCTTGTCTAGGTACATATCCAGAGTATGAAAGATGAAACTTCACCATCTTTGCCTCCAAGGAGTTTTCTAGCTGCACTATTTCCAAGACATACCTGTTTTTTCTTATGGTACTCCATGGAATATTTAGTGCTCTTCTCCAGCACCAAAACTCAAAGGCATCAGTTCTTCTGTCATCCTTATTCATTGTCTAGCTCTCTGGTGCATAGCAGATGATTGAGATTACCATGGCCCAAATCAGGTGTATCTTAATCTTCAAGCTGACATTACTACTCTTCAGCAGTTTGGACAGGACCCTGACATTAAATATCATTTCTCTTGATCTGTACTTCACAATTACCAATGTTTTTATTTTGAACATTTTCAGAGCTATGAAAAAGTTACAGAATTGCACAACAAACAGCAATGTGTTCATGAATACATTCATCAGTTGTTAGAGTGCAGAAATTATCGAATAATATCATTAATTTAATATCACATGCAAACAAGATTCTGCTGAAAATTATCTATACTAGAGCTGCATGTCAAGAGAACTTCTAGATGTGCAGGGTGGGTTTAGAAGAGGCTGTGGTACTAGGGAAATTATAGCTGATGTTAGAGAGATCTTGGCTGAAAGCAGGGAGTACTAGAGAAATGTCTATCTATGTTTTATTGACTATGCAAAGGCATTTGACTGTGTAGGTCACAACAAACTGTGGCTGACTCTGAGAAGAATGGGAATCCCAGAACATTTGATCGTGCTTATGTGAAACCTATACTTGGACCAGGAGGCAGTCATCAAAGGAGAGCAAGGAGATGCTACATGGTTCAAAGTCGGAAAGGATGTCTGCCAGGAATGGATTTTGTCTCCATACCTTTTCAATCTATATGCAGAACATCATCAGGGAGGCTGAAATCTGTGTGGAGGAATGTGGCATCAGGATTGGAGGAAGATTCATCAGCAACCTGGGTTATACAGATAACACAACCTGCTTGCTGAAATTGAGGAGCACCTGACGCGCTTGCTGCAGAAGATCATGCACTTGCAGCCTTCAATATGGATTGAAGCTCAACATCAAGAAAACAAAGGTTCTCACCACTGGGCCAATAGGCAGCATCATATGGATGGTGAAGAGAGTGAGATTGTTCACAGCTTTAGTTTGCTTGGCTCCACAATCAACACTCTTGGTACCAGGAACCAGGAAGTTAAGAAATCATTGGTAAAGTCGGCTGTCAGGCCCTTCTCCAGAGTACTGAAGAGCAACGATGTCAGTCCAGAAACTAAGGTGTGTCTGATCAAGGCCATAGTCTTCTCAATTGCTTGCTATGTGTCAGAGAGCTGGACAATGACTAGGGATGATAGAAAGAGAATTGATGCCTTTGAGCTTTGGTGCTGGAAAAGAGTGTTGAATATACCATGGACTGCTAGGATAACAAACAGTTTCATCCTAAAGAGGATGAAGCCAGGCTGTTCCTTGGAGGCAAGGATTCTGAGGTTTGGTCTGACATACTTTAGGAATATTGCAAGGAGGGACTGGTCCTTGAAGAGTGGCATCATGCTTGCAAGTGTGGAGGGTCAGAGAAAGGGAGGGAGACCATTGATGAGATGGATTGATACAGTGACTGGGGTAATGAGGGTGTTGGAGACAGTAAAGTTGGCACAGGATAGAGCAGGTTTCAGGGCTCTTGTACATAGGGTCGCTGTGAGTTGCAAGCTACTTAGACAGCACATAACAACAACAATAACAGTTGTTAATATTTTACTGGACTGCTTTGGCATGGTCTACAGGGAATTGTATTGTTAACCTAAGATGACACCTCTGGAGGTTCAGTTCACCAATGACTCCTCGGGAGAAAGATGTGCAGTTCCTTTCCATACAGTTCACATTCTCAAACCTGGTGGAAGGTAAACTATGAGTCAGTTTCAACTCAGTGACAATGAGTTTTAACACCCTTTGGAAAGTTAGTTGTAGACATCATGCTACAGCATCCTGAAGTACTTTAGCGTATATCTGTTTATGATTGATTGCTGTGCCATGGAGTTGGCACTGACTCACAGCTGATCCTTCATTGGTTTCCAGAGACTATAAGTCACACAGGAGGAGATTGTGCATCTTTCTTCCAAAGAACTTTGGATTTGAACTGCCAGAGAAGTGTGTCCTTTAGACCAGCAGTACAGCTCTCTAGAGACTACACCATTAGAGCTTCCTCTCCTAAGAATCTTTTCCTATAAGGTAATAATATTATTACATAATAAAATTGTCATTAAAATTTCCTGAAACAGCTGGTTTTCATTTTATATTCAGAACTCATTGCAAGATTTCATTGTTTGTTTTTTTTCACTCGAAAACATTTCCTGACCTTTCTGCCTTTTGTTCATGTCATTAAAGAACCGGCTTGAAGATGTCCTTCAGTGTGGATTGGCCTGTTCGTTTTTGTTTAGATACTGTTCTTTTTTGCTTAGATATTGTTCCTTTTTGCTTAGATAAAGCTTAAGCATTTTATTTCTCTCCCCCTCTTTTTTATTGCTCTGATAAACTTTTTTTAAATGAAAGTTTATAAAGAACTTGGATTTCCATTCATGCATTGTTGCACATTTTCCTCCCTGTCCTCTCCCCCAGTTCACTTTTTTCTTTTGAAAAAAGTTCTTTCATTGTTACACAGCTCCCCCGCTCCACTTTACTATGCAGCTCTTATTCTGGATTCTTGTCGTGCCAATAATACCTTATCATATATTCCTTTTATACAGTTCTCTTCCTCATCTGTTTCAATGCTGTGTATGTTATTTATCCCCTCTTTTCTTAGTTTTCCCCCAACCTCCATGTCAGTCCTGTTTTATAACAGTGATATTATGCAGTATTTGTCCTTATGTGATTGAGACGAGCATAATGTCCTCCATGGTCACCCATTTTGTATAATAGTTCGTAAGTTCTTCATTTTCCAAGGCTGCATAATATTCCATTGTGTGAATATACCACAGCTTCTCCATGCATTCTTTGATGGGCTCTTGCATTGTTTGCAAATCTTTGAGCTTAAACATTTTAGAGGTGCAGTTTACCCTCACGGAGTCATCTCATGTTATTTGGACCTGCCGTTAGTGTTGTTAAATGTACTTGTACTGTCTTGCTTAAGGTGATGCCTGGTATATTTCTAAATTGTAGAAATAATATTTTTCCTTTTGTAACTGCTAAACTACCTTTGGGTCTGTACCTTGAGTTTGTGTGACTTGTATGTTCTCCGATTATCTTTGACTCAGTGCTTTTAGCACATGAGTCTTTAACACAGAGGTCATGAATAGGGCCCTGCTGTTCTTTGGGAATTCCAGTGGTAAGAATATTCAATTGCTAACCCGAAGTTTGGTGGCTCAACCTGTCCAGCCACTCTGTGGGGGGAAGATGTGGCAGTCTGAGTCCATAGTGATTTACAGTTTTGGAAACCTATGTGGACATTTTTACTCTTTCCTATGAGTTGGACTTGATGGCAGTGGATTTTGGGTTCTTTATTCTTTCAAAGGAATCTTGATGTTAACTACTTGATTGCTAACTGAAAAGTTGGTGATTTGAACCCATAAGTAGCCCCAAGGGAGAAAAGAGCTGGTCATCTCTTACCCTAAAGATTACAGCTTGGGAAACTGTATTGAGATGTTTCACCCAACCCTACAGGGTCACCATGTACTAGAACTGGATTTCTTTTGTAAAAAAGAAATTCTTCTTTTTCTTTCCCTTTTCCCCACCTCTGTTTACCTCTTGTCAGTGTAGAGTTACTATTGTTTGTTCATACTCATTGTTTATTCCTGTCATCATTGATTTCGATGCTAAAATTGTCCACAGTTTGACTAGTGGGAGTACTTCTCAGTTGGTACTCCTGCATCAAAGGTAAGTCTTCACTAGTATTTAATACTTGACTCCACTGGGGCTTTTAAAGCTAGTTGAGCATCTTAACTTACGTTGTTTGCCTTACTTAATCCTCATTGTGGTTATTTTCCAGCAAATCACTGAATTGAAGAAAGAAAACTTTAACTTAAAGCTCCGCATCTATTTCCTTGAGGAAAGGATGCAACAGGAATTTGATGGTCCCACTGAACACATCTACAAAACTGTGAGTGACCCATTACTCTCAGCTGGCCTTGTGTCTTTTCCTATAGACATTCCATGCAGAAACATATTATTTGTTCTCAGAATTTGCATGAACAAGTAGTCACTTTAATTTAAATGGAATTGATTTTATGGAGCATAAAAATATTAAGATGAGAGGTGCACAGTTCAAATCCACCAGATGCTCTGCTGGAGAAGGAGGAACAATCTCCTCCTGTACCTGTCAGATTTGGTTTGCCGGTACACACAAAAAACATTAATAAAAAAAAAATTAAGATGACCTTACCAGTAAGCCGAAATGTACATGATTAGAGAAGTAATTTTTCTGTTTCTTTTCTCCTGCTTTGTAAAATAGGCATTTTTGCCTTTCCATTTTTATTGCAATAGCTTTGTTATTATTGTTATTATTATTATTAATTTATTTATTTAGAAAAAAGCTGTGGAATGACTTTGGAATGGAAAACTAAGGTTACTCACTGACAACTTCTGTTACTTTAGGCAGGTTGCTTCACTTTTCTGGGCTTGCTTTCTGAATTAAGTGATGATACTTACGTCATAGAGTTCTTTGTGTGGATTAAAATGAGATGACAGATGAAAAGCTCTCCCCAGCACATAGTCAGTGCTTGATAATTACCAGCATTGTCTTACTGAGGCTTTCTTTGGCAGGCCAAAGTCAGGATTGTCAGTTTTTCTGTGATGTGACTCTTCTGCATTCCTTGTGTGTTGCTTATCACTGTCAGAGAAGAAAAAAAAAAAGAAAATCTATTCCCATCTGAAGTCTTGACCTGGAGGTCTCTGCCTGAAAACAAACGTTGGTTCTGAAAGTTGTAAAAAAAGAACTTGGCTTTTTTGAAAAGGCATGAGTACAAATAATATTTCAGTGCCCATTTCTTGGCTTTCTCCAGTAGATTAGCCCTTGGTCAGGGAATTATTCCATCTTTCTGAAGTTTGAATCAGTAGAAACTTTTGAAGGAGGAAAAAGAACTCTCCTTGAGTTGCAGTGGATGAACTTAAATTGACTTGTCTTGAAGAAGGCTTGTACTGTACTTCTGAGCCTTTTCAAGAATTACAAAGCTCTTTTGTCCCTTAAAACATTATTTTCCCCTTTAAGTGTGAGGGTAGAAAGATAATAAAGATGTCTCTTTTTCTAAAGAAGAGGGCAGTGATGCAATCAAAATTTTAAAGTAATATTAATAGCCTAGATATTATAGATACAAATGTGGTGATCATAAGCTTCTAGGGTGAAGGCTACCTTTGTGTTAAGCACCATTCTGGGTATTTGTACATTTGTTATCTTATTTTAATTCTCAAGACAGCCCAGTGTGGAGAGATTACCTTCTTCTTACAGGGGAGAAATTAAGGCTCAGAGAAGATCAATAGCTCATTTGATACCATTGAATGAGTAAATGAGGTAGATTTTGAAACTGGATTTGTTTGCCTCCTTATAACACTTTATTTTAGCGCTTCCTTTCCATTGTCTCTAGATGGCCTCAATTCATTGTATTTCTTTTACAGTTTGCACTTTTGGATAGGTGTACATGATTTAAAATTCAAGAAGTATAAAAGGCATATACTGATCTACTTTCTTCTACCTTTGTCCCTTTTTCTCAGATCTAATCAGTGTTATTACTTTGATAATAGAGAAATTATGAATATATAAGTGTGGTGCTTATAGGTATATGTTAGGGATCCCTCTCTCTCCTCCATTGTATCTTTAACACAATTGCAAGCATATGCAAGTTCGTCACCTTGTGTTTTTCACCTGAGGATATATCTCTGATGTCTGCTCTTAATAGTAGTTTAAAACTTTCCCATGAATTTTGGTCTAACTGCATAATATTCCATTTTGTGTTTTTAAAGGGGTTCTGAGCTTAGATTTAGACATGAGAAACAGCATATATATAATTTTATGACTTGAGATATTTGACTTGTGAAAAATAATCCAATGGGCAGAGCAGTTAGGTTTACCAGAAAGCAAAATACTCTGAAATCTATCAGTTAAGTATAGAGGCTTTCTACCCTCCCAAGAGCTGGAGAAAAGTCTTTTTCAAGAATGTTTTTGCAAAACCTCATTGTGCACTGCCACTCAGTGTCCTTTATCCAAAGAACTTTCTTCTAGAAAAAATTTCAGCTCCTAGCTGATGCATGTTCCTGTTTGGCAATGAAAGCATGAGCATTTGTGGAATACTGTGTCCTAGACCCCTCGTGTTTGTTTAGTCATCAAATCCCCTGTGTCAGGTTCACTTTATGGTTTTTATTTGACATTTGAGAATCAGGAAAGAGAAGCATTGCTCTCTCTCCTCCCTCGACTTGTGCTTCAGAGGTCAACTTTCGTGTCAATGTCAAGTTTCTTATTTGATGCCAGCTTGAAGACAGGGTCTGTGTCTGTTCTGTCTTCTCTGTTGTACTCTCAGTGCATCCTGCTGGGCATGCCACAAATCTGCCACATGGAAGAGTGAGTAAATGAACATTCACTGGCTTACTACAATGTTCCTTTTGGTAAAGAGTAGAGGCAAAATTTGAACCTATATACTTTTGGTCCAAAAGCCCAAGACCATTTTGCCTATATTTTTCAACCGGGGGTACTCATTCCACCAGGACTGCTGAGTGGAGCAGAGATGGAAACATTGTAGATTTTATTAGAAGATTTCTGGTGAAAATGCTATTTTTACTTAAAATGTACAAGTATTATGGAAGAGAATGCAAAATTGACATACATTATTAAAATAAAACAGAAGAGATCTTTCAGAAAAATCTCAACTTTTTGTCAATCCTCTGCAAGCAGTATACCAGAATATCTGTCCGTGCTGTATGTTAAGCACATACATACATACATACAAGCACATACATACAGAGCTAATGCTCTGTCTGGGCTACAATTATGGACATGTTTGGAAAGTTCACCACTGTTCCACTGTCTCCCATTGCAATCTCTATACCAGAGTTTGTCTCTGGATTTTCACGTGAACAATGAGCCTGAGGCCATGTGTGACTCCTCATTTTAGTCAATGAAAAGGGAGTAGTTGTTTGGAGAACACTGTGGTGTCCCTGGCCCCATGGGGTTGTAGTTCTTTTGTACATGAGTAACCTGAAATCTCTTACAGTAACTAGACAAGCTGCGATGCAGCCTCCCACTTAGGCATCCACATGCTTTATTTTTTTTCAAAGCTGTAATGTGTTCCCCCTACTACAGCAACCACATGCATGATTGTAAACAACCAGAAGTAATTGCCTTGGAATGGTAAAAGCAAACTGCAGAATTGCTTGTAAATTTGCTTGGCGGAGGGCAAACAATTTTTAAATCAGCTTCACTTGTATGACATTTATGCCTTGATGTTTGAATGCTCTGGCTGTTAGACGCTTAGAAAATTTACATAATTGTTCCAAGTCTTGAAAAATCCAGGGTTTTCTTTTGAGACCACCAGTGTTTAATAATTCCCTTTTCCCTGTGCCCTGAGGCTAATGAGGTTTCGAATCTAACATCTGCCTGTTACAAGCATTGGTAGTCAGCCTAGGCTGAACGCACTTTCCCCAGTGTAGCTGTTCAGATGGCCTGTATTTTACACGATTTCTTTTCTTTCCATGTCTTGTCTGGAAGAACATTGCACTTAAGGTGGAAGTAGAAAGTCTGAAGCGGGAACTCCAGGAGAGAGAGCAGTTGCTTATCAAAGCCTCGTGAGTACCTGTCATCCTGTCTGTCCCAAATTTACCAACCAGCTAGTGGGTCCAGCTCATGCTTCCCGAATATACCCATGTCCCACAGTTCTCATTACTCTGACCATTCCTTAATTTTACCTGTTTTTTGACCTTTATGTAAATGGAATTGCACAGTATGTAATCTCTTAAAAAATGTGTTTGTGAGATTCATCCATATTGTTAATTCTACCAACATTTCGTTCATTCTCATTGCTGCAAATGCCTTAGGGTTTTGAAGTGGTCAGTAGAGGCTCCTGTGGATGCAAGAAGGTCAAGGGTGGAGCTTAAATCAGAGCAATTTGTTTTATGTACTGGGATCTCTTGAAATATTTTGCTTGACTTATGGATTCTGCTGTTTAAAATGGAGCTCTGGTGGCCTGCTGGAAAACAGTCGTTCTGCTAACTTAAAGGAAGGCAGTTTGAATTCACCAGCTGCTCGGAGGGAGAACTGTGGGTGGGTTCCTTCTAAAAACACCATGGAGGGTCAGCGATCAGCTTTCTCTCTCTTCATGGCAATGAATTTGTGGGTGTGGTGTTATCTTTTTCTTCCTTGCTTGAAAAAGTCACTTTGTTTTTGTTTTTTTTAGTGGAGTGAACTTGGGGTGGTGGGAGGGGTGTGGGGGGATTGTATACCAGAGAAGGAATTTTTCTTTTGCTTTTCAAAGAGAGGCATGAACTGGGCCTGGGAGAGGGCTGGACAGGGAGAAAAGTGCAACAATGAATGAATGAAAATCCAAAATCTCTGTAAATGTTCATTAAAATTA